CCCCTCTTTTGACCCATCTAACTTCTGTTATTACTCTCTAAATACAGAGTCTTTGGCAACCCACTCAGGACCCCTTCTGTCTCCTTGACAGAAGCTTTTTTTCTCTCAATAAATATATTCCATTCTTAAACTCCATCATTCTAAACATTATTCTTCTATTTTAGAGAACAAAAACTCATTCCAGATATATAGTAGATCAGGAGTTTCATTCCCCTCTATCATTAACATGAGCCAAATTAACATAAATATCTTTATGATTTGTCTGAATGCTTTTCACTTTTCATGCAGTTTTAAGTGATCAATACAACTCACAGTGGTTGTATTCCTGGCAATGTATAAAGTTGTATAAATCAGTCATTATAAATGTAAAATAATTGTTTTGAGTATATAATTTAGCAAGAACTAGATATTGCCATGGCAGTAGGTTATCTCGTATAAAAGTGAATGTTCAACTAAAATTGTTCAGAACAATTTCTACATTACTGGCTCCTTCAACAATTTTAAGATACATGAAATGTGTATTTTTGCCTTTTTGTAGAAGGCTTCTATTATGTTATTGAAAGAAGTTTGTACATCTGTAGGACCCTGTTTATATTTTGATGCTTTTTCTGCATTGAAGTTTATATGAAGGTTTATTTTTATCGTAGGCTTAAACTCACTGCATTGACACTGATGGAGTGAAGCAACAGTCCACTACATTAATTTCAATTATATATCCACGGCATTGATCATATGAATTACTGAGGAGGTAAATTAGCCACATACATAGACAAGAATCAGTACTGTTAGCATTTTGGGGGGGCAATAGAGAAGCAGAATATAAGAAAAAGTAAAAGTGGCCTTTCTATGTAAGGAATGTGAGGAGGAGCCCAAAAAAACCAAGGTTGTTTTTTTACTATGTGGTTAGGGGTATATCTGACTTTTGACTAGATGTGGAGATTGGAACAGACGTTTCTGTCATGTGAGGAGCTGACTGGAATTTTCCTCAGGCCCCTGGGAAAGGAATGAGAAGGTTGTAATCAGGGAAAAAGAGGAAGTGGCCATATGGTTAGCATCCCTGATTGGGCCTTCCACCATGTTCAACTACCACCAGGAGGTCCTGTAACTCATTCAAGGGCAAAAGTCTTTCAAGTACATCCCTCAGTTTGAATGATGAAATGAAAATAAAGAAGGTTTGCTATGTGTCTTCCTCCAATGCTGGAGGTAACCATTCACAAGAAATATTTTGAGTCATATCCTTAATAAATTGTAGATACCATAACCAAAATTACAGATCAGTTCACTTTCAGAAAACAGAAGCAGCACTTAAATGCAGGCATAAAGGCCTTCAATGAGAGTATCCCTGAAGATATTAGATCAGCTTTATAGAACACAAACTGCTATTCATTTATCTGAGTTCACTAAAGAGAAAAATTTATAATGGTATTGGTACAGGGGAAAGAAACTCCTGATCTACTATGTCCAGTGTGAGTTTGTGCTCTCTAAAATTAAAGCATAAATTTTAGGAACAACAGAATTTAAGAGTAGAATATATTTATTGGGAAAGAAAGCTGTCTGAGAGAGAGAAGGGGTCCTGAGTGGGTTGCCAAAGACTGTCTTTTCTAGGGACTTCTATAGAGTAAAATCATTTTGTGAGGTGGATTTAAGGTGGGAATACTGGGAGCTCACAAGGCAGATATGCATAAGATGGGACAGAAATATGGCAGCCAATAAAATTAATAGTTCAGGTAAAAGTGATTAAATTGAGATCAAATGGGGAAGCCTGTCACACAGAAACTAGGCATTTTTATGCAGTAGTAACTCTTCAATTAAGGGGTTCAGAAGGTGACTCATGATTTCACCAGGATGATAGGAATTATTTGGAATAGCAGGCTTTACTTGAATGGTAACTGCTGACTTCCTCAGAGTGCTAGAGAACCATTTCAAATATCAATCCTTACCATATGAATACATTTGCTTAATCTTTTGTCCTGAAGTCTGACGCTTAGCAGGAAGTGTCTGCCTTCCCTATAGTTGAAGGTATATGGGCTTCTGCATGGGATCCTTGGAGAACCTAGCCCTGTCTCACTGCCAACATTATTTGACTAACTCAGCTGCCCATTACAGTATTGTTTGGAAAATTGAATACAAATGTCTTGTGCTCTGGTATGAATGATCGGGGGATGACAGTGTGCAAAGTATTTACCATTGTTGTCCCCTGATTGACATGTTTTGAAATTTAGTTTTAGTTTATTTTTACCATTGAAATCAAATGGAATTGGAAATAAAAAGCCTGAGGTAAATCTCTTTGGTACAAGCACTCCTCTGTGGATATCAGCACTGTAGAAGACAGTCAGCTCCAGAAGTCAGCACTACAGTCTATCATTTGGGATCCAGTCTTGCAGGGAGGGGTTCCTTTCCCTGTTTATTCTTGATTCAGGAGGAGAGCAGTAGAGAAAGACTGAATCACTGATGAAGAGGTGGGCTATATGAACTGTCCAATCAGATGGGCCACAGCAGGCGGTCTCTTAGGTCTTCCTATCTGGGCATTATTTACCCATTGTGAGCACAGTACTGGAGCAGAATGTTTGCTGGATCTCATTTAGTGGTTTCAATGTCATGTGGCCTGATTAGGAAAGAATGACTCATTTCCTTAAAGTTTGGGAAACTCTAAATTAAATAAAGTTAAATATTTTTTCCTACAAAACTTTTTAGAACCAGTACTACGCAAATAGTTATCCCAAATCTTCAATATTTTCCAAGCTTGTTGGTCCACTGAAATCTTTTTTCATTTACCATAAGGGAATCACTAAAATATTTTTTTAGGGAATGAAACTATATGCAAGATTCTTCTAGTTGGTTATAAAACCAACTAATTCAGCAGAATAATGTAGGATTATATTTGTTTATCAGAATAAATTTCTGTTATTTATAATGAATTTTTTAAAATATAAAATTATGGATCATGAAATTTCAAAAAATTAGATAGAAAAGTCAATGACAATAAATTCATATAACAGCACCTAAACAATGATCAGTAATTCTTCTGGACATCACAATTCATTTCTCTTTCTCCCATTCATCATGGCTTAAGCATGTATGAAAATCATGAAAGATTCTGCCCAAAATAATAAAGAATATCTGAATCTTAAATTGATTTGTTGGTCTTTTCATATTGTCCTATCCTAAATGTTAATACTGCGGGGTATCCTGTCCTAAACTGCCATCTATTTCTATATAATATACGGTCATGAATTTAAAAATCCATGGTAATCACTGAGTTAAAAAGGATAAGAACTGTGACAAACTAGATGGCACATTGCCCACCTACAGAACCAAAATTGTTTCACAGATCCCTGCAAGAATACTACAGTAGGATAATTTCATCACGAATTCTTTCACTGAAAACTGGGAATCTAATCTTTTTGGCGTGAGGGTACCAGGCACTGAACTCAGAACACTGTGCTTGCCAGGTAGGCGCTGTGCTGCTGAGCTATATCCCTCTTCTCATTTTTAATTACCATCTGAATGTAATGAACCTTTACAGTTCAACACACCTAAAATTGAACACTGCTTTACTTCAAAACTTAAATCTTTGGCTCTCTTTTAGTAACAGGCACTATTATACACAGTTCTTCAAGACAAATACCTCGATACCATCCTTGAATTTTCTCTTTATATTTGTTCCACTTCTTCCTCTATTTTTAAAATAAAACAGCTTAACTCTTCCCCACAAAGTATTATAATTTTTACCCAGAGTATAATTTTTTACTCTCTCTCCAATCATTTCTCCATTCCTGAATAGGATATTTTTAAAATTTAAATTTAATCAAATTACATCTGTCTAAAGCCATTTAAAGTCTAGCTTCCTATTGACTTTAAAGTTCAAACTACTCAGAGTGGCTTATAAGACTATTTATATATATGCCCTGATTACAGCCCCAGATATATCTCTTGCCATCTTCTCTTCCAGCCATTCAAACCAACCAAAACTCAAAACATTTCTAGTCATGGAACATAAAATTCTCACCATATCTTTTGAACATTTTGGGGTTTTTTCCTGGAAAATTGTCATCTTTGTCCTGATTCTTCACTTGTGTATCTGAAAACTCATCCTTCAGCTCTCAGCATAGATATAATTCCCTTCACAGAGACTTTTCTGAGGTTTATATCAGATGATTTTCTTATGGAATTGTCAAAATATATTTCCCATAATAATTATCTTTCTATTTAATCTTTTTTCTTCAAATAGCAATGTTTGATTAAAAGCAAACCTAACTCTAAGAATTCCAAAATGTCACGATAAAATTTAATCATATGTAGAAAAAAGGTTACATTTTTAGAAATACTATATGTACTCCACCAGAAATAACTATTTCTGTGCTATCTCCTATATTTTCTCATAGAAATATTTTTAATGACACTTTAGTACTGCCATTCTATGATATCCTTAGTCATCACTCTTTCAATGCAAAATGTTTCAGGTTCCAAATAACCTATATAAAATTTTAGAAACATGAAAATAAAGGTTAAGTGAAAAGCAGCCAAATGAGTACTTAAAATAGGAATAATCAAATATCTTTTAAAGACAATTCTTTCATTTTGCATACCCAGAAAATAGGTTTTAGAATTTGTGGATTAAAATTATATTTATAAAATGCATATTGAAGCATATTTTAATTACTGTCCCATACACTTAATACATATTAACAGAAAGTGGAATGTAATTTCTAATGTATTGCAAGAGGTAGAAGGCAATTAAGAGGCAATTTTGGGAGACTGAAAGTTGACATTCACAATCTATCATGGAGGAATTACAATTCCAACGAACTCACTTTAGGAAATTTGGTCAAAATAAACCATTGATAATTTCTTAAAAGATATTCCAAAGGCATTGCCAGAGGCTTGAATTCTTATAAAACACAGAATTTATAAGCAAAATGATGGACACTCTTCTAATACTGGAGAGCGCCCGGCGCCAAGACCAGAGACACCGGCGGAGCTGCCCTAGGCGGGCGCACCCACGCCTGTAAGCCCGCCGCCCTCCGCGACCTTCTCTTCCCGGATTGGTAGGCGGCTAGCGGCGGTGAGGCGGGCGCCTAAATCCGGGTCCTTAGACGTTCGTCCGGGACGCAGCGCTCGCCGTCCAGCCGCGCTTCCTTCACACCTGCTGGCATGCGTGTGGGCGCCCGCGCAGGGTCTGTAGGGGCCCGTGGGCGCGCGTGTGTGTGCGCTCGGCCCGGAGCGCGTCGGTCTGCTGAGGGTGCTTGTGTGCTCGCGCGTTGGGTGCTCGGCCCCGGGGAGCGACGGCGGGAGCCTGACTCCGCGCGCCCGGCCGGCTCAGGCGGGACTTGCGCCGCAGCCGCCACCGCCTCGCGTCCCCTGAGGGCCGCTGTCGTGCTGCGGAGAGCGCCGGGGCGGGCGGGCGGACGCCGCGGGGGCTGCGAGCGGCTGGTTGCCTGGGGTGGGAGGAGGTGGGGTGGGGGTCTAGAGGCGCGGGCGGGAGGGGCCGGGATGAGGGTGCGGGGCAGCGCGGAGGCGGCCGGCGTCGCCGCGCGTCCCTCCCGTCGGCTGTGGTGCTGTCAGCCGCAGAAGTTTTGGGCTCCGACTGTTGGGAATGGGGAGTGGAATAAAAGGCGTCTTTGCCTCCCAAATTTCTTGCCGAGAAAAAAGGCAGGGTTGAAGATGACAGAGGGTTGGGGGGGGTCGCCTGGAAGATGGTGGCAGAGTAAATTGCAGCAACCCCCCCCCCACAACGTTTTTCTGGAAATAAAAATTATTCTAGCTGAACCTTTAGAAGGAAATCCCGGCTTGAAGAGAGACGCGGAGGGTCTTGTTCTTTTGATTCTGGTTTGATTGTATAATAATAATGATATAATACTAATGACGACACTGCCTTTTATTTTGACCCCAGTGCTGTCAAAGCATAGTTACAGCTGGGGATAAAGCCCTTGAAAATCTGATGTATGAAGAAGGAATACAGTTGCTCTAGGAATGGTCTTTATTTTATGAAGATATGTATTTTAGAATTAAAATTTGACAAAACGAGGCCTTTCTTCTTTTCCACTTTTCAGCCAATGCTCATAAAATGGGGCTGGCTATTACTGCCCGAATATGGAAGAATAAATGATTTTACCCGGTATAATTCTATGTAGTTAGTCAACCCTTTCTCTTTTCCTTTGACTTTCTCAACAGTTCTTAAAATGAAGAAGTTTAATTTCCGAAAAGTTTTGGATGGCTTGACTGCCTCCTCACTGGGCAGTGGCAGCAGCAGTAGCAGTAACAGCGGTGGGACTGGTAGTGGTCCCTTGCATCCAGGAGGGACAGCTGGAGTTCTGAGAGAGGAGATTCAGGAAACCTTGACTTCAGAATATTTCCAGATTTGTAAGGTAAATTGTGCATTGCTTGAGGCCTATTATTTTTTCATTATATTTCTGTGGAGAAACAAGGAAATAAAACATCACAGTAAGAATCGTTGAGATGCCAGCATCAAAGATCATTTTATCTCATAAATTTATGAGATACAAAATCTTCAAAATTATAAAAATTAAAAAAGCAAAAAATTAAAAATTTTTAGATATTTAAAATTAAAATTTAAAGTTCTCAAGGTGATTTACTTCAGCAGTGTTCTGGAATACATATTAAATGTTTTTTAAAGGTAAAGCAAAATAGCATATGAAATTTATAAATGAGATGTAAGGCTTAGAACACCTTACATAATAAAATTAAACTTACAATGCATTAATTGAGACTAAATGCTAACACAGGGAAAGTACATTAAAATAAATGTAATCATGCTAAAATTGATGAATATTTAGTCAAAAACAACAAAATTATGCAATTTGAGTGAATTTCATTGAATTAGAGTTTTGAAAATATTAGCTTATTTAATATGTAAAATGTTAAGTGGTACATGAAACAAACTACGTGGTATGGTTTATAGCTTTTGCTAAGACTTGCTGAAATTAAATGGTAAGCTTTAGGTGTTTGTGTCTAGAGATTTATGCTCATGGTTGGGATTTCTGTCATTACAAAAGTGTGAGGGCCATTCTTATATCTTTTCAACCACTTTGTTCCTACTTTGTGGGAGATGCCACAGAAGGCTGCTGACAAGTGCCTACACCTTGACCGTAGCCTTCACAGCCTGTGAACCCATATGCTGAAACATGTCTGTTAAGTTTAATCTACCACGTCTCAAGTATTCCATTCTACTAGTCCAAAATGAAATCAGATAGCCATTAAAAACAACAGAAGTGTTAAAAATGTGAGCAGTTTTCCTAGGCTAAAACAATGCTTTAATACCATTAATATATTTAATTTGATGCAATTTATTAATAGTATGTAGAATAAGCCATATAAATACATAAACCATCAAAAGAGGATATACGGTACATAGTTAATAATTACTCCATAAAATACATGAATAGTTTCAAATAAATCTAAGTTATTTCAAGATAGGAAAGTAAATTAATTATAATTGGAAGAGGGGAACTTATGGTCAGAAAATTGAAAGTTAAAAAATTATACTTCCAAAATATAGTGGCTTTTGATGTAGACCCATTTCGAGATTAAAAGAAAAGGAATTTAATATGGCAAAAATACAAATTTCTTGTGGTGAGATACAGTAGTGCCTTGGTTTATAATCTATTTGTTTCACAATTTTGGGGAAAATAACTGTGGTTGCATGGGTATAACCACGGAAGTAAAACTTGTGTGTGGAAACAAAGTTTGCTAAATGTTTTGTTTGCAAACCAAATTGTTTGCAAACAGAAGAATTCATATACTGAGGTATTATTGTATTTAAAAATCCATTCTCAGCAATTTCTAAGTATGTGTTAAATCATCAATAGTCACCATTTTTTAAAATGAATATACAGAACTTAACATTCTACCTAAATGAAGTTTGTGATTTTTCATTAACAGCCCTTTTTCGATTAACCACGAACCCCCACTTCCTGTGCATCAGCCTTTGTTAAATATCATTCTACCCTTATGAGATCATGTAGCATTTTTCTTTGCCTAATTTCACTTAACAAGTGAAAGTTCTTTTATATATTATAAATGACAGAATACTTTCTTGTGTAAGACTGAAAAGCGTTCAGTCACACACAAGCACACCCACATACACAGCACTTATGAATAATATTTTCATTATCCATTTTTCTATCAGTGAACATCTAAGTGCATTTCATGTCTTGAGTATTTTGAAGAATTCTGTAATCCATAGGAGAATACAGATCACACTTTCACATAACAGTTTAAATTTCTAGTCACATACCAAATAATAAAATTATTGGATCATATAGCAGGTCTAATTTTATTTTTTTGAGAAACTTCCACCATGTGTTCGATATCAGTTTACATTCCTTATAACAGTGTGCAAGATGTTACTCTTCTTCACCTCTTTCGAACACTTCTTATCCTTGGTATTCTTGATAACAGTCATGCTGACATTTGTGAATCAGTATCTCCTTGTGTCTTCAATTTGTACTTTTCTGATGATTAATGACATTGAGCATTTTTCACAAAACTGATAGATTTTTTTTATGTTGTCAATTGAGAATATTATAACTTCATTTAATCATTTTATTCACATTATTTTTGTTTGGTTGGTTATTGAGCTGAAGTATTTTCTAGTTTTGGATGTTAAACTCTAATCACATGTATGATTTTTGCCCACTTCATATTTTGTTTACTCTAAATAAACTGCTTAGTTTTATTTTTGGTGCTTTAAAATTTTTAGTCTAACAATGAGTGTCTAAACTACGGATTATATGCTTTCTAGGAGACATACAGCTAAACAGGTCCCTATCATACAGTGACCTATAACTACAGCTTTCCATAGTATTCACAAACTTTTTCCTCAAATTTCTAAAAATTTTACGTTTTCAGACCTTTAAAACTTCATTTAAAATTTATTTTTATTTATTGCATAAGGAAAACACATAATTTCATTGCTTTGTAGATATCTACTACTCCGGGCATCAGAGGTAGCCATTCTTTTATGCGCTCTTGGAAATGTGCAAGGAGCAACTGTTTGCAAAAGCATAGATGTATTTCTTTTTTTTTTTTTTTTTTTTATTTAAAGAAAAGGAAACGAAAAAAAAATACATGGAGATTAAAGAAAAAAAGGGTAGAAAAATAATACTAAATTACAGACAAACAAAAGGTAAGAAATTGCCAGTTGATAAGTTACAAATTGTCTTCTTCAAAATGGCTGTTTAGGTTATAGAATTAAAGTATTTAGAATGACATTCAAAAAAGTGACCCTACAAACCATTCTGCTCTATGGCCGAACAAAAGCTCCGTAATATGATTATCAGTCCCACCTATTTGTTTTACATCTCTAAGAGGATAAGGTTAATCATATCAAAACAGAACAGAACATTAAAAAAAAAAATAAAAAACAATTTAAAGAAACACAGATTTCAAAGCAAGTCCACCGGAGATCTACCTTATCCAACTGTCTCTAGCCTCTTACAAATAGTTGTCCCTAACTTCACCCACTTTCTATACTTATTGCATATTATAGAACTAATCAAATCATTACAGGATGATGGAGTCTCTTTAGGTCCTCAAGTTCCAAATTAGGGAAGACATTTCCAACTACTTTCGCATCTCTCATTCTCTTTGTGATAGCCGTCCCCATCTCTGCATATGCTGAAGTTGAGCTGAAGAAACCAGTCCAGAGTCATTTTAATCAGCAAGCAATAGGTTGCTAGAATTTATATTATAATGCTACAAAATAAGCCTCGGGTTTTTCAGGTCTCTTCCTCAGAGTATTTGTTCCTATCCTCTCTGTATTATAGGGAAAACCAAGTCATAACAAGACAGCGAAACAATTTCCTAGATAAACATGCAATGGATAAGACTTACAAAACTATAATATAAATGATCTTCCGTAGCTACTATGTTTTCTCTTGTTATTTTCAATAGATTTGTCGGCAACACTGGCTTATTATAGTTAAATATACTATCACCTATTTTTATAAAAACTTATCTTTGACTGCATTGTAGTATTTGAGAGCTGTTACTGATTCATACCAGTATGGATATCCTTTACATCCTGTCATGCTCAGAGTAGTTTCCTCTACTTTTAGGGTTGGTTCTAACACGCATACGGATTTCAAATAGGATCAGTCAAGGCCAACCAATAGTCTTATGATTCAGATACAATTAAGATCAGTCATAGTAAGACAATGTAAGTAATACAGGATTTCAGCTTAAGTCAATAGGAAAGTAAGGATGGTTACCATGGTATAACCTGCTATTTTTGGTTCTAGAGGTCTGTGTCCTCAAATCTGATATGAGTGGACAGACCAGAACAAATTTAATTCAATCTAAATATGGCACTAGGACTACTGTGTCTTTTAAATCGTTATACACCATTAGCAGTGACCTCTGCTTTTTTTTTTTTTAAATATAGTTTCAGAGCTGTCTCTACCAAAGATTAGCTTACCGTCTCTGCCTCATGTCTGCTACTCCACTTTTCTGCTATAATTTGTCCACCTTATTCCCTCATTCCATGGTCTGCCCCGTACACTGAGGCCTCTCTGCCACTGTAGCTGTAATCCTGATATCTCTTCTTCTCTTTCTCTGTAATGTCCTTCAGCGCTCTCTGTAGGGTTGGATTGGTGGCCATGAACTCCCACAGTTCCTCCTTGTCTTGAAAGTATCTTATTTCTTCATTAATTTTTAGAGAGAGTTTTGATGGATATATGAACTTAGGTTGCATATTTTTTTCCTTCAGGACTTGGAATATTTCTCCCCACTCCCTTCTTGACTTAAGAGTTTGTGTTGATAAGTCTGCTGTTATTTTGATAGATTTCCCGTTATATGTAACCTGCATCTTTTCTCTGGCTGCTTTTAATATTCTGTTTTTTTGGTGGATTTCTGGGATCTCGATTATTATATGCCTAGGCGTAGATCTGTTTTGGTTGTAGGTAGCTGGCGTTCTGTATGCTTCTTTTATCTGGATATCATTTCTTTTTGCTATACATGGGAAATTTTGCTTTAATATCTCTGTGAATATTTTTTGTATTTCATTTTTGGATGTTCCTGCTTCCTCACTCACATTCTTTATTCTTAGGTTATGCATCTTTTTATCATCTTCCAGTTTTAGAATTGCTTCTTTCTGGTTCCTTGTTATTTTTAAGAGGCTTTTTCTTTCACGTTCATAAGCCCTAAATCTCTCTTCAAGTTTCAGAAGGTTGTCTTTAGTTTCTGTCAAGGCATTTTGCCAATATTCAATGGAGTTTTTAATTTCCTGATTTTCTCTTTGGATCTGTTTCATGTATTCTAAGTTATGCTTAAATTCTTCAGATGCTTCTCTTTCTTTTCTGATTTCCTCAGTTCTTCCATCTGTGTTCTCTTGGGCAGGGCTTGTCAT